CTCTGTGCATATCCTTTCACCGCATCTAATGAATTGAGTGATCTTGGGCTGGCAAAACGTAAACTATATATCTCTTACTGAGTTATTTTATGAGGTGCAAATCTACCCTGTCTTTTGTCTGAGAGCTATTCCAGTGGTCATCAGCAGCAGCAGCAATCCCTTGCAGTTGAGGATGATTGTCTTCCATGATTGCCTTATCTGTAGGTCCAAAGATGGCTGACAAGGCCAATCTGAGATCCACAGGTTCTCTTGCAACTAGGACACGTGTTTCCATGTGGGGTGGGTGGCTCTATTACTGGTTTGGTTTCTGCTGCTTATTTTTCTGTCTCCTGTTGCTGTCACTGTTGTGGTGGTATATAGGTTCCAGTGGCCAGCCACATGGAACAGCTGATTCAGAGTAGATTGGTTGTTCCCTTCCCCCTGCAGTTTCAGATTCTTGGCTCTGAGAAGTTGTAATCAGGTTCCGTTGTTAATTCCTCTGACACTGGTGCTCCCACTGGTGTCTGTGTTTTCCAGGATTGGGGAAGCAAAAAGATTTAGAGCCACCTTTCCTCCTCCTGCTCTTTATAATTGGCTGAGCCAATTATAAAGTTGATGCTGCTAAGAGTCTGACCCTTTTTTTCTTGAGGCCACCAGAGGCTGACTACAAAGACAAGAGTTGGACTTTCAGGTATGGTGATGGGAAGGCAACTATGTTGCAGCCTACACAGTCAAACCCAGCTAATACTATTCTTCTTGATATCACATTCAGCCTGCCACCACAGCTTTCATCAGTGGCTGACTTCTGTACATAATAAAGCAAAAGTATCTATGGTGACTCCCAACATTGTCACTAACTTCCTTATGCAATATAACTTACCAGCTTAAGCAATCTCTCCTGGATAAATTTACTACTTAATGCACTAATTATTTCATGATGCTCCAAAATCAAATCAATTAGCAGTCAGTTGTTGATAAATGAATTTGCCTTATTGGAGAATTATATGTAAATATTTACATCAGCAAAACAGTATCATTGTGAGAGAGACTTGTCAGGTACTTACTCAGAGCCTGGGAATTTAAGGTACTGCCAGAGCCCTGGGGTGGTTTTCCCAGGGGCGTAGTAACACCCATGTGATTTATCTCAGCTAAATTGAACGGGGAGGTTGTATGGTTGTTACAATCATACAACCAGGGAGGTTGTTACATAGTGTAACTTTGTAGCAGGTGCCTCTGGAACTCTTGGAAAAAGACAAAATCATTAATAAAGGGGTTAAGAGAGTTAGTAAAATGCAAGCACCGTGCCCTTTGGGAGGAATACATGAGGGGTGGAAGCCCTGCCGGCTTTTTTTGTGATGTGAAGAAGTCTCTCCTTCCTTCAGTTAGTACATATTTTGTTAAAACATAGTATAACTTTTATGTGTTTAATTTCAATGTTAGATATTATATATGTTAGATATATATATATATA